TCTGACGTGGACGTGGTTGGCCTCCAACCTCGTCGTCCCTTGTCAAGGAGAGAATCCTTCCTGTTACTTGTAACACCTACCCCACTCCAGTTGCAACAAATGACTAATATCCCCCACTGTGTAACGAGAATCACCCTGTAACGAGATGATTTTACCGTTCGGTCGTCCTAAGTCACTCCCACACGAGTCTTTGAAGTCGCAGCTAGTATATCGCCATTCTTTGGCCAGTCCTGCACTTAGCATAGGTGTGCGATTGGAAAATTACCGCTCTGTTGGTCATGCTGTCGATGGTTTCGTTACTGGTTCTAGATCCTCTCCGGCCGCACAACCCCGGTTTGCGCACAGCTTTCAGCAGACCTGCAGCTTTCGGAGCCATTCAACAGTACTCTTGGGTATAACCAAAAGGTTCCCAACTTTTGAAGTTGTTATGCCTTCGATGTTCGTGCTTCCGAGAGTTTCGCCGAGCAGAATGAGGGGTCTTAGCGTCCTGCAGCCTTAGCGTGTATGAGATACGGCTCGATATAGCTTAGTGTAACATATCTACTGCACTGTATCTTAACGCTATCACATCTGTGGCGCAGGGCTAAGGGAGTTTGTCTAGTTTGCGGAACTGTGTCTAGTCCACTACCTCACAGGCGCTCAATGCCTTAGGCGCTCTCTCCTACATCATCATCACGGATAATGACAGCCAAGTATTGACGGAAGGCCTTTCTGAAGGCATGCCTAACACTTTCTCTGCCTAGCTGCACAAGGCAACATTCCACTGTCCACTCTCCATCGTGCACGTGGACGACGCTCGAGAAAAGCCAAAGCCTAAAGCGAATAGTACTCTACCACGTGCGAAAAGAACGCTGTTGTTGATTAACTTACATGAATACCCTCGGACGCGAATGAACTATGTAGCCAATTATAAAAGCGTTTTCCTGCGACCTATCCTAGTCACCGGTTTTCAGCTCCGCCTATTTAAACAGTTGTTGTTCTAGATCACTTCTTTCCCCTTACCCCGCACCTCTTCTCCCCTTCTACCCCACATCTCTTCTTGCCTCCTTCCTCCTATCTCAAAGCACGCTCTGCAAAACAAAAGATCAGTATGGTTATAGTAGTTGGCACCGGTGGCGGCGCAGCGGCTGTTGCTGGGGTCGTTGCCCCTAAAGCTGCTGCAGTCACTGCTGCCCTCGTTTCCGAAGGCGCTCTCGCTGTTGGCAGCGCGGCCGGCAGCGTCGCCGTTGCTGAGGGTGCACTTACGACAGCTATCGTCGCCGAAAGCGCTGTGACTGCTTTGACGGGGTTGACTGCTACCCAGTTTTGGAATCCAGTGGGATGGGCCATTGGAGGCGTACTTGTTGGTGCCAGTCAACAAGCTTCGCAGGCTGTGACTTGGGGCTGCTACAAGCCTATTATTGGCGAGGTTGATACCAAAGAAACATCGATCAAGCCAACAACGCTCGCAAATCTAGCAGCGCATCCAGAGGTTCGACAGGTGTTTGTCTATGCAAGCGCTGTATCTGCCAACCTCCCCAACGTTGAAATCAGAAACAGAGCCGGAGAATACTACTTGCTACGTGGCGTTGTTCTTCCATGGGGTTCAGCTGCATATCATGCGGAGCGAATCGATGAATCGATCTACACCATCTCTTCATCGGCGACTTGACGGGGGTCTGCGATTACCGGTGGATGGAAAGAGAAGTCTCGAGATTGTCTTATTTAGAGTCTTATTATGATTGCGAAGGAGGGTTTTTTTCGCAAGGAATGTCTAGGCGGTACTGGAGATATTCTGTTGGAGCCTCTCTTTATGTATGCTGCTCACTTTGTCATTTTTCTGGCCCATGTTCGACCATGTCAGCTGCTGTCTACGGTGATGAGGTCAATATGTAACGTTAGGCTCGAAATGCGAGACATCGATTCAAGGTGCACGCGGAGGAACTTCGGACGACAGTGTCACATGCCTACTAGTTAGTTATCTGTCTAGTTATGCTTACAAAGCTTTCAGCCACACCTTAGTTCAATTCTCAACGTGGCTTATAGTAGTTAACTAGTTACGGGTTATTTATTATGTAAGACGTGCTAACGTGTTGAGGATAACCTCGCTCAGATCGCTTCGCTAGAAATACTGACTAGGGGTGTCGGCATTGGATGAATTACCCTTGCATTACCGCCACAGGGCTGAGGATGGCTTATCAGCGTGTTGGCGCGGTTGGAGGGCTATGTACTACTATATTATGATCGTGTTGAGTCGTCCGGGCTTCATAGTAATTAGGTCTGTAGCAGAGGAGTCCTGCTACGTCGCGAAATGAGGCGCTTCGCAAATGAGGCGCGAAGGCGACGACGACTCGGTAATTTTCTAGTAGTAAGCGGTTAGGCGATAGAGGACAAGCCTCTGCACGTAACCCAAGCGATGCAGTACGATTATCGAGACGTAGCGAGGGGTTTCATTGCTTTGAAGTCTAAGTACATATGACTTTTCTCGTTACGGGGTGGTTCTCGCTACATGGTGGGGGATATTACTAACTATAGCCCCATACCCCACTGCCATCCCACCACCGCCATCGCCACCACAATTTTCGCATGGTCACGACACCCTAAAACTTGTGGTAGACCCTAACTGCTCTGTCCGGAATATGACCAAGGACAATCCACTCGTGCTTCGAATTGTGCCAGGCATATCTAGGGATAATCATGCCCAGCTTATCGGCTAGACGTCTGACATTGCGATACTCCACACGCATATTACTAGCATTCACATCGATCTCGTAGATGGTTACATTCTTCTTTCCCTCTCTAACACGCTGCTCTGCTTGTTTCCGCACTACACGCTTGCTACTGTACGTTGAAATGAAGGGAGAAGCGCGTCTGACCCACCAACGGAGATGGCCTCCGAACACCCAACGCAGCGTGTCATCGTCCGAATTAAAAGTGATGCCGCTGTCTTGGTCCTCCGCCCATATACCCTCTCCTTCAAAGTACTTACCGCGAGAGCCGTCATATATAATTCGCCACAACATCGTCGAAGCCGTTATCGTGCACAAAAGTCCTGTCGTGGCATGGCGGGGTAACGCTTTGTGAGGAATGGGGACGTGCCTCGACGCGCGAACGCGATACGCTTTTTAATCACATGTCCTTGGCGCGCCCCGCACTGACGCCTTCCGAAGTTTCCCCGCCCAGCTTGTCCCACTCGAACCCGACATCCAATCCACAGGTGAAGCTTTGCTTATTATTTTGAGCTTACCCCTATTCGACGACTAGCTTTGTGATCAAAATCATGTCAGCACTTCTGATTGGTGCATTAGATACAGAGGTACCAGGCCGTGTGGCGATCACGCATGAATCAGTTCACCGACCAGCCCTTACCGCTGGTGAGCAGGCTTGGATGATTCTATCGAATACCTAGACGTATACAGAAGCGATAGATGCGTTGCGACGGATGGAACTGATGGTTGTGGTCGTATAACTCGTGAGGCGCATTATTGAAATGGAGCAGGTGTCTTCGCACATCTGGAGGGAAGGTATCTACACGATTGTAATTTT